AGACAGAGAACTGTTCTGCCACGCAAGGAAAGATTTCATCTCTTTCTAAATTTTTATATGTATACTGTTTGTAATCATCCCTACCTGAAACATGACCAGGAAATAAGAGTATGGCATCGCGCCGTTAGTTGCTATTCACTTCAACTATTTTTTGCTTTTGTCGTTCAGTTTTCCCTGTCAGGCGTGTGGATCCCGGGTAATGAGGTGGGCATCGCAAATAACTTCACGTTTCTGGTCAACTCAAGCGCTGGGAGACACCTCAGCGAGGAAAACCACCTGACGATATTTCTTGCCTATGCTGATCAAACAGATGGACTCGAAAGTCCGAAGAAGCGCTATCTCACGTCCTCAGTAGCATGGACTCCAGGTGACGATAAAGGTACGCCTGTTTGCTTAGTATTAATCAAAGGAAAGCTCGTAAATACGCTTTAATGGTTGCACGCTTTTGCACGCGTTGTACAATGCCCTAAGGACCACTCAGGCTGTGCTGGCGTGAAAATCGATAAGCAATAATAGGGGGCCTCTGCGCTTTAACGAAACGCCTTTTAGTCCGCGGAATTTTCTCGGTCGTCAGTAGGCCAAAGGAAGGGGAAAAGTATTGTTTGCCATCCACCCTTCCTTAGCGGTCGGTGAGTCTTCATCAGCGAAAGGTAATGCCTTTCCACCGTGGCTACTGTAAAATATAGCAGTATCGCTTATTGAACTTATTCAGGCAGTTCACAAATTTTCGAGTCCTAAAGACGTGCAGAGTAAGTCACTTATCAATACCAAAATAGTTAAAACCCTTTTTATGTCTTCAGCTTTTAAGTACATTAACGCATGCCAGCTTGCTGATATCCTAAAAATCGATGCCTAACTCCTTTTTGGACAATAATGCCCTGCTCCTCCGTTCAGACCCTGCCAGGGGGCATGGCAAAATCCAAAAAATGAGCTTCCTAGTTCAGAAGGACGCAATGATCCACTGTGCTGTACTTCAAAGACCTTTCTCCGCATCTACGGTCCAACGCGAGTGCTTCCGATCCGAAACTGCCGAACCACGCAAATGGCAGGGTACACTAAAAATAGTCTTGCTCTTTCATCTCTGACTTATTTTTTCCAACCCTAAGTTTTTCATGATTTTAAAATGAGGTAGACTGTGCATTTAGACCGAAGGGAAACAGAAAATTCAAGGTCACTGTTTAAGGAAGATTGGATTAGACAACATGGCATTCAGTAGGCAAACAACCCAAATTAACTTCTAAAACTTAGCCAGAAACTCAACCCTAATATACCATGCTCACCTAAATCTAATAAGTAGGCTTGTTATAGTATGTAAAGGGAGAGGACTTACTTGTGCCAGATAACGGCCAACGAGTGTTGGCATGCTTGTAGGAATGGTTAGCTCACCTACTGACTTCTTTTGCCCCTAGTTATTGACATCGATGTTGCCTTCATTGACGCCTACATAAAGACCAGCAGCAAGTTTCTGGGCGCTGGATATCAGAGACACAACTGGTTGGTTGGCGATGATTCAGGAGGCGGAGACTGGACTTTCCTTGGACCCTATTCCTACATGCATATCGCCAACAATATCTCCCACCTGAGTGACCGAATCACGGCCTTTACTATGTCCGGGCCGGAAGAACTTGTGGATGGTCGCTGCAAACACTTAGCCGGGAATTGGTCAGGTAAGTACCTGGGGACAGAACGTTTCTTCGAAGGTCCTTAACTTGACCATTCATCGTATCCTTTATCTCTCCTAGAGTGTATTATTAAATAGGTCCTCGTCACGTATTTCATTTACATTAGGTTTGACCTATCGTATTAAAACATCAACCGAAAATCTTAAATGTACCTTAGATTCGGAAAATGTACTCAAGTTGGTTTGAAATGCTAACTTTCGTGCAACCTAATTGCAAGATATCTCTCCCACTTCAAAATCTTTGATTTTGAAAGCACTTTCTTTCAGTCTGCTAGAAAAAACTGCATTCTGTAAAACATAATAATGTAATAAGTATGCATCCTTCGCATTTATTTTTGATGCCATAAATAGGTGATAGGATCATACATGGATATATTATTTAGTATAGACAGTAAGTAGAACATTGGGCCTTCATCAAAAGTTATAACTGATTTAACTTAACTATAAACAAGTATAAAGTATAGTTTGAAGACTGTTTACTATCCGTTCATAAATAAAATTATCAGAAGAAGCCGACTCGATTGCTAGGGAAATAATTTTATGCGCCTGAAATTTCGACATCTGTCGCGGATTCATCATCAGAGATATAAGCAGAAAACAGTAGTGCTGCTGATAAGGTCCGCGAACCGATCAACCTCCTCTGCAAACGTTTGGGAGCCTGATATGACATCTTTTTAATAGCATAGAGAAATATGTAGTTCTCGGTAGACAGAATGTGTAACACTTGTAGTCTGGAACATCTTAATGCAACTGTAACATCAGTTCGGAGGAAAAATTATGCGACAACCAGAACACACATCTCCTCATGTATAGTCTTCCAGGCGCTTGGAAGTTGGCTGATTAAAACTAAGGCATCCTGAAGGGACTGAAATAGTTTTGAATTGTGCTACTCACTAATTAATGTTCGAAATGTTATAGGAAAAGAAGACACACTACAAATCTTTCGTTAACCTTTCATTAGTTAGCAAATCTGCTGTATGGATAGTGGAAGTAAATTTTTGTGCTGAGGCTCAATCTAGCCAAAGCAAGTCACCAGTCGGGAAGAGCAAAGGCTAAAGCATCGCCTGACGCCAACGGCAGGGAACCAGATGTCCGAGTAATCCTCATGTCTACTTCCACCACGTGTGATGAATCTTCAGCAGGTCGCGGC